CACTCTACAAGTCTAAATCATGGTCTACAGTACCCTCATAAAACCCAAATTGTTACTTGGGTACTTTCAGAATTGATTTCAAACTGTTCAAAAGTGATTCAGTTCTTCCTGAAGCGATTCAGTACTTTCGGAAGTGATTACAAACTATCTGGAATTATTCTGTACTTTTCGGAGCGATTCCAAACAGTTCTGAAGTGATTCAGTTCTTTCTGAAATCATTTAGTGCTTTGCAAAGTGATTATGAACATTCTGAAGCGATTCAGTATTTCCGACGTGAGGCTGAACGTTTCTGAAATGATTCTGTGCATTCCTAGCTAATTTAATCATTTTCGAAGATATTCGGTTCTTGCGGAAATGATTACAAACTTTCTGGGATGATTCAGTACTTTCCAATGTGAATCCGAAATTTTCTGAAGTGATTCAATACTATCCCAAGAGATTCCGAGCTTAAAGTGGTTCAACACTTTCCGAAGTGATTCAGTGCTTTCTGAAATAATTCAGTACTTTCCGAAGTGATCATGAACTTTTCCAAAGTGATTCCGAACATTACTGAAGATATTCGGTGTTTTCCGAAGTGATTCCGAACATTTCTCAAGTGATTCAATTATTTTCAAAGTGAACTTTTCGCAATGATTCAGTGCTTTCCAAAGTGATTTCGAATATTTATTAAGTGTTTTGGGTCTTTTCTGAAGTTATTCAGTACTTTGTGAAATGATTCTCAACATTTATGAAGTGATTCAAGACTTTCTGAAGTGATTCAAGACTTTCTGAAGTGATTCCACACTGTTCTAAATCGATACAGTACGTTCAGAAGTGATTTCGAACATTTCTAAAGTGATACAATACATTCCTAAATGATTCAGTAGTTTCCGAATTGATTGAAAACATTTCTGAAGTGATTTAGCACTTCCGAAGTAAGTCCAAACTTTTCTGAAATGATTCAGTACTTTCTGAAGTGATTTCGAACTTTTCATTAGTTATTCAGTGCGCTCTGAAATGATTCAGTACTTTCTGAAGAGATTCCGTATTTTTATGAAGTGATTCAATTATTTCCTTAAGTGATTCAGTAATTTTTTAAGTGATTCCGAACTATCCTCAAGTGATTCAGTACTTTCTGAAGTTATGTCGATCTTGTTTATATGATTTCAAACTATTCTCCCATACCTCACCGTGAAAGAATTCCATCACCGTCATGTCAAAATTTCTATCTTACGCCACTAAGTAGCGCCAACTTTTGTCCGCCAATCAGGATTTGCACCGTTAGTGGTTAACCTCAATTAGATGAACTTTTGGACAGTTCAGTGGTATTATTTAACTTTTTTCCCTCGATCATGGACACACAGCCTGAGCAAAGTCTGAGATCAAATTGCAATCTAAATTTGATGTTGTGATTTCGCTGATAATGATAACTCAGGTTGCTGTCGTTTTGGTCGTTTTAACGGTTAAAATATCAAAATTGCTAGCAAACATATCTTCCTGTGACATCACATTGAAAACTATTTCTGCTATCAGTGAGAGCAAACTGAATACTCAATTTGATATCAATTTTTCATGTTGATAACAAAACAAGTATTCAATTTGATGTTATGCTAAGGCAATGAAGTCAAACCCGCAACAACATATTTTTGTACAGCAAAATGAAAACAAAATTTATCAATTGCATAAACTGAAATTAAATTATTTAGGATTTCAGTTTGATGTTGATATCAAAACTGGACTTCAATATGCTTTCATTTTGATGCTGGACTGATGCTGATGCTATTTTTTTTTCAAAAATATATTCTGCATTATTACCTAAAAACCTCTCTCTGCATTGGCGTTGCCATGCGATAAGGTACATCTTTGAAGATATTCTGGATACCACGCAAATATTTGAAAACATCCCAACTGATACTGCAAACACTATCCTTGAATGCATTATGCAAAATATACAGCCCACAGCTTCCCAGATCTATCAGCTTCTCGCCACCTTTTTGTACCTCTTGCTTCAATTCACATTGGGCCCATCCATGGACACTTGCAGCAACTTGTTCGAAGAGATACCGGCAAGGGCGTCCATAAACGCAGCGAGTAGATCTGATGCCCGGGATCTTCCCAAAAACGTTGACGTCATGCACTGATAAAATTTCAAAGATTATTTTATGTGTCCCACACATAATTTTTAGCAATGTGATCAACATTATTTTTTTCCCTGACCTACACTAAAATTCCCTGACATTCCCTGACTTTCCAGATCATAAATAGAATTCCCTGACATTCCCTGACTTTCCAGGTTTTTCCAGGTAGTCGACACCCTGAAAATATATCTCAAAAACTAAAAAACACACACCGCTGATTTTGAGATATAATGTGTAAATATCTCAAAATCAGCGGTGTGTGTTTTTTAGTTTTTGAGATATATTTTGTTGAAGTTATCAAATTTTGGGTTTTCACTCAATACTCCTATGAAACTAGACTACCATGCATTGTGGCTATGTTACAGTCGCTATAAATCGATTTTTTACCATCCTAACATGGAAATGGTCACTCTAATGACAAAATAAAAAAGGGGCCAATATTTAGCGATAAGGAACAAAACTACCAATTTTTACGAAATGCTGAGAACCACAATATCGTTTTTCTATGGAATGGTTGTATAAGACTATTCTAACTTCTAAATGGTATACCAAAAGATTTCCGAGGAATATTCTAAGTGAAATGTTAAGACAATTTTGAAGAGAAATTGAACCGAATTTTCGAATTATAAGAATACGAAAATAAATGTATAGTAAGTTTCAAGAGCAGGAAATTTCTTAAGTGTTTTGCGCCAAATGCTTAAACTGTTATGGAGAAAGAGAATAGAGAATACCGGATAGAATTACACGAATGTCAAGAGAAATCCTGGAATTAAAATTAATTCTGAAGACATTTAGGAATGATCCTAAGGAAATCCTTCAGAAATTTGCAAACATATAATGAGATAATTTTCAAAGAAACAATTTCGTAATTTCAAACATTGAAACATTTTCATGATTCCGTACATTTTTTTTTTTTTTAATTTTAGTCACTTTAACGCTCTTGGGTCATTTGTGACTTGTCCGGGGTGAGATTTGAACTCGTGACTTTGGCGTGAGAGGTATGAATGCTAACCACTACGCCGGGGTCGCCCCCGATTCCGTACATAGAAATGCATTATCCAAGATTAACCAAAATTCACAAGATTCTGATACTTTGATTGAGACTTGAAACTTTTCTATAATTTCAGAGAAGTGTCCTCCATGGCCAGGGTGGCCAGTGAAATTTCATTTTGAAATTTCCGGTTTTCCCGGTTCAAATCTTAAGAAATTTCACGTTGTTAATATTCAACGAAAAAAAACGAAATTGAACGCAGAACAATCCCAAAACTCTGGGCTTTGAAATTAGTGTACAGTCTGAAACTAAAACCTTTTTTTTTAAATCTGTGATACATAACAATTTTTATTGTATTTTTTTTTTTCAAATAATGCATCACGATTTGGAGAAAAAATAATTAAAATGATTATTACGCCGATTGTTTTCTGGTTTATTTCAGAAGAATTTCAAGACAATTCAGAGCAGAATTCTAAGTTAATTCTGGAATTCATATCATGATAATTTTGAAACGAAAAATTAAAACCCCGGAAAGAATAATTCAGTTTCGGTTTTACAAATTTTTGTTTCCAAAGTCCAGCATCTTCAATATTTTCTTTTAAGGACCATGCACTTTATATCTGCAATTGAAACGACAATTTGCAATATTGCTGAGGGAATAAATTCTTAAAATAATAAGACGGGAACCTGAAGAAATTATGCAGCAAATAGAGCAAGACATTCATTTGGTAAAGGATCACTATGTTTTAATGGTTTATTCTTAAATTCTGGTGTAAAAATTTGTTCCTTTGGTATGGTTAATTTATTTTACCCAGTTTTCTCGCCGAATTCCTGGGTTTTCCCGGTTACTTTTCAAATTCCCAGATATTTTCCGGTATTCCCGGTTTGTTACCCTGTCCAATACATAAAAAGATTTCAACGTCAAAAATTAATAATAATATTTAAACTGCCAGATTCTGAGACATTCTAGGACTCTCTCCTGGGTTTTCAGATATCCAGAACAACATGTGAAAAGGGCATACAAGCTTTTTGTAAACAAACCTTCTTATGCCCTTTTCTCGACACCCATATGATACCAACGCAAACCTTTAACATCACCGGGTAGGGGACACTTTCCCCTTCCCGATGATATTGCTTTTTTGCGTGGGCGACCCTCGGTTGGTGAGAAAAGGGCCTACAAAGGTTTGTTTACAAAAAGCTTGTATGCCCTTTTCACATGTTGTTCTGGATATAGTTGCCACCCTGCTGAACTGCCCTTGTGGCATAACAGTCCCATTAGCATTTTTTTAAGAAAATAAGTTATACATTTTTTACAATGTACACGAAAAGTTTCCTACTTTGTTCAGAAAATGTCACGACAAATACCAACACTATGTTGTCCTATCCATAAGAGCCCATAGAGAAAAAAAATCGCGAAAAGCCAATAATAAGATAAAGAAGAAGACCCTAACGGTGCTATGTTCTATAAAATGTTTCTTACAATAACCGAACTACAAACAAAAAATATCATCTGAAAAAAATGTTTTTAGATGTCATTAGATCGGATAAGAAGTTTGTTGGCTGTGCGGGGCAGTCAACCGAGAAATGACTTTGAATAACGATATTAATATGAGATAAGATTTGCATAAATAAAAACCTAGTTAGTCAATTTTGGTGCTCTTGCTATGCCTCTATTTCGTTAGATAAATGCTAATCTATTTTTTAAAAGTCACAAACTACAAGTTAGATATCCCCAATGTATACCAGTAATAGTAATAGCTTCAAGTCTGCAACCGTTTCCTTATCAGCTTTTAAAAAGTTATTTGCATCGCACTTTTAGAAAGTTCAAAGCGCTATATATATACCGGTTCAAAAAGCGACTAATTAACCAAACCCCGCTACGCCGTACTCACTTATAACTTCGTGTTTCTTTACTGCTGGATGAGTTGTAACGGTAGCCGTGGCACCACTGCTGGTGATAATACTGCAAAATAAAAAATGGTGACGGAAAAATAAAAAAGTTACTCGCGAAAAAAAAAACTACCGACTGCCGAAAGAAACAATAAATCATTAAGGCAGTTTGCCGCGTCGGAGAGATCTCCGCCGCGCCAAGGCGCTATTGAATAGCAATGTTTTGGCGCGACTTGCTTAAACGGAATTGGTGGAAGAGAGGTCGTACGTAATGTAATAAAAAAGGAAGGTAGATACACTTACCGCTGCGTTGTGCCTTGCTGTAACGCTGACGGATCGTTGACCACGATCATCCTCCGGACACCCTTGTTGGCGTGCGTGATCGTACCCTTGGCATCTTTCTGCACTATAATGCTAGCACCGTCCGGTAACTGCAAGTATGGCATCTGTATCAGGACAAATGGGCCACAACACAACACGGATGGGGTGGGTGGATGATTTTTTACATTTTGATATTGTTTTTTTAGGACGGTGATTTTTTGTTGTTGTTGTTGTTGGAAGTGATTTGGTGATGATGTGATTTTGTTGAATGATGTGGTTGTATTTTGGGCAAAAACAGGCATCGCACGACGCAACAACATAATACAATATGAAAAAGAAAGAGAGAGAAAAGAAGCAAACATGTGGTAAATCAGATTCAGGCTTAATGAATAGGCTGCATGAGGGATAATAAAAGAGATTCAATTTATATTGTCATGTTCGGTTCAAGTTTTGTGCTTGAGATAAATAAAACGCTTAATTCCAATCAGAGTTCCACCAATACTGAATAATGTATGTACATAAATTGTTAAACATTCGCGAGTCTTATCCAAATTTACAATGTTCAAATGTTTCTTACATGTTGTGATTGGATAACTTAAGGTAATTTTCCAATCAATGTCGGTCGTATAATTGCAAGCAAGAAATATAGATCGCAAATTCACGTGTGAACGTTACAAGCTGACCGTGGTGCAAATGTTAGAAGGACCTCACATAATATGCTTGCTTTAATAATGAATGAAGGTGGAAGGATAACAGGTAGGACCAGTTACCAGAACAGTTTGTTTGTCGGGTAGGGTGGTGATGCTACATACAGGTTCACCACCATACCCGACAAACAAAGTGTACAACACACAAACATTGAACGCGATGGAGCTATGAAACACTCGACCAACAATTGAAAAGGGCCTAACAGAGTTTGTAAACAAAACTGCACGATGATGCTATTGATTTGCGTGGGCGTCCTTCGGTTTGCGAGGAAAGAGCGTACAAAGTTTTGTTTATAAAAGCTGATAGGCCCTCTCCAATTGTTGGTCGAGAACTGTTCAAAAGTGATTCCCTCTTTATTGAAATTGAAGCTAAATTATTTATAACATACACACATAAAAATGGAACACAACACAGGAAAAGCGAGTAATGTATTGTTGCTTTCAGGACCGACCGACCGTTTGTGTGCAAGGCACATGTTGACAAAGGATGAAAACAGAGTGTCAAAATCAGCTGTGCTTTGTTTACGTCATCATCGATGTTTGCTTTCGTTTGAGCATCCTCTCTGTGTGCTCTTTGCTGTGTGGCACACACTCACCGTGATAGGGAACAGATCTCGGTCACTGGGTTGTGTGTAGTCTGTGTAGTAGGATATTCTCCTCCCTCACCCAGTCAGAAAGGGACGTCGCGTCGGATGGTGGATGTTACCTCTGTGTACTGTGTCTCATTTGTGTGTATGTGCGTATACCACATCCACCATCCGTTTTTATAAACGTGCAAAATTGGAAGCTACCATCATCATGTGTACAACCTACAGCAGCAACAATCCTACTATTCGCAGACACGACCACGACTCTATTTGCAGCTAGTAGTAGCTGTGAGTGAAGTTCATTCGGTTCAACCTGACGACGACGAAGTTGCATCGAACGTGAGACTGGCGGAAGGCTTGTAGAGTTCAGGAAGAAGTAAAAAGCATACCAAATAATAATAGGCAATCACAGCAAACCACGCCGACATAGCAGCTTCATTCCACAACGTCAACCACCATGAAACCGGCGGCCGGTTGCAGGAATGAACAGCAACAAGCATCACCAACCAACATGTTGATGTGAGGTTTTGCTGCATGCCACCCAATCATCCCCGCTACACATAGCACCCAATCATCCCCGCGGTGAGCCACAGTACCCAGGCTTGGCTGATCCAGTGTGTGTTCCTCTACTACTCCACCTTACATGAAGTAGTGAGAAAAGCACGTGCTTCTGCGTCACCCCATTCACAGCTGTGCCGCTAGAGGCCTACTCAGACTACGCCAGCAAGTTGCGAAGACGTGGAAAGCGCGTTCAAACACCTTGTGTTTACAAACATTACCTATTGGTCGTTGTACTCGTCCGTTGCATCCACCAATTTCGGTAATGCATCATACACAGACAAATAAAACTACCCAAAGTTTGGGTTTTTTAACAGTCATACACTCATAAAATTTATCACATATCTAATGGATGAAAACCATGTGAATTTCACATAGCTTTCATCGCTAATAAACAAATATCATAAACGAACTGTATCCCGGATGGGTAAACTATCCCACAAATGGTTTGGATGATACCCTGGATCGTTAAGCTCTCTTTTATGGTTATTTTTATTAGGGATGTGATCACATAGCTACAAATCTCACCACAAAATCACATGAATATTATGAGGTCGATGAAATTCATATGAAAAATAATATGAAATTAACGTGATCGCATAAATGTTAATGTGAAATTCAGATGAATTCCATTAATTTTGATTATGGATGAAAATCATTTGCGATTCCAATGGAAGCTACATGAAAACTATTTTCGGTGTACGACACTGTCCCTCTCACTATTGTCAAAAATAGAACGAAAAATTCAACTCAACCATCTTCTTCCGTACAAGAAGCGAAAATGGGGTAATGTGATACATTCTCAAATTTGAATGAATGGAACTTAATTTTGCGTAGAAAAAGCTGTAAGTGAAAAAACATTGCAGTTGATAAATACAAGTGGAAGTATTAATAGAAATTAGTAGCTGTCACTCAAATTTGGGTTATCCTATGGAGGTGTGAAATGAACTTAATTTTTGGTTGTTTTATTTCTGTGCACTGCACAATCCCAATTGTCCAGGGGCGGGACACCTTGGCTAAATATATCAAAATATGTTCGCGAGAAATCGGTGATTGACGTGTTTGTTTACAAAAGCAATTACGCCCTAATCTCGAAGTTCTCCGGATATGTACTCTTTTGATATCGAGATGATAATGCGGTCAATCATAAACATAGTTTCCATAGCGATTCACCTGAAATATTTTCGTTGATATTTTCAACAGTGGCGTGCCGTAACTTCACTTTTTACCTGGGCACCAAATTTAAAAACCAAATTCTCCCGTAATATTTGAAAAGGGCCTATCCTCGTTGATCGATACTGTTCATCGACTTTCTCTTTGGTTTACCACGGCAACATAAACGAATTTCTCGCTAAGCTCGCAGCACAGTTCGACAGAAGATGATGTTCTCTTGCGCCTGTAACAACATACTCAATGGGAAATTCATTTGCAGTCGGGTTACTCGCGAAAGAGAAATTGATAAAGATAATCGATCAACAATGATAGGCCCTTTTCTCGTGTTGCACGAAATTTAACCATTACCATATTCATACTCGAATCGGTTGAAAAATACACTTAATCTTCTAGTTTACTCGATATCTATCTATTGCAAGCAATATTTTATGCAATATATTGTTTATGTTTTGAGAGTTGGTGCACAGTAGAAACGCTGAAATAAGAGACCAGCGGAGAAAAAAAAATCATGAATTTGGCAACAAGCTAAACATCAAAGCAATCCTGGCATCACTTGCATTTGTAACTGCTTGCGAGTGACTTCGCCAATGCATCGACGAGCGAGTTCATGAGTGATTGTTAAATGATTTTAATACGCCTCCCTAATTGAAGCAAACCATTTGTAAACATTGCAGATTGGAACCGCTTTTGACAGTTCGATTGGAATCATAACAGTGTCTCCGCTGGTCTCTTATTCCAGTGTTTCTAGTGTACAGGTAGATTGAGGAAACGCCACTGATTTTCAAGTATATCTAAGTTGTCTTGCCCCTCTAAATGATCTAGTTTCCAATGTATTCCAATGTGACACCAAAGCACTAATCGAGTTTTGTCCCTTTAAATTAGCTTCCACGAGATTTTCTGCCTTCCTCCTCCGTGTGCTGCTTTTGCCCACATACTGACGATTCTGTTTAACCTTCTAACTGGAATCATCTACTAGAACTAGATCTTCTAGACTAGAAAAGTAGAAGATACGAAAACAAACGCACGAGGTGGGACATGTGTGCGCGGTCAATTTATTTTAATGTAAATAATAGCATTATGCCCAACTTTAGAAGCCTTATTCTGAAGAAAACCGAATAGTCTGCAGTATAGTGACGATCTAGGATATAGGTATGTAGGATAGGGTGTTTCATTTTGAAAAAAGTGATGAATTTTTGATAGGCCACCCTCCAGTTCGATTCATAGCCCCAAAATATGAACCTGTGCAAAAAATGGTAAAGATTGATGAAGGTTTAGAGGTCGCGCCAATGATTTGGATTTTGTATGGAGATTTTGGTGAATTAGCATGGGAAATTATTGATTTTCGTTTACGTTGCTCTAACTTTGGTTGTAGTTGTCCAAACGTTGAAAAAAAAAATATGTGGTTGTCATGACAATGATCAACAAGCCTGTTGTTGTTGCGATGAAATTGGCGTTGTTGCCTTGTACATATTCATCTGTCAATTTACCCTATTTTGCCATTTTTTCACATTTTTATAATTCTTGATACGCTGCAAAACTGAGCGTAGCAACTGTAGGCTTTTTGTTTATTGCCATAGCAATAACATACTAAATTTTTTCGACATTTGGACAAGTAGAAGCAAAGTTATAGCGATATAAGCGATTTTTTAAATTCTTCCATAGTAATTCCCATACAAATTTCAAATCATTGGCGCGACCTCTAAACCTTCATCAATCTTTACCAATTTTTGCACAGGTTCATATTTTGGGGCTATGAATCGAACTGGAGGGTGGCCCATCAGAAATTCATCACTTTTTTCAGAATGAAGCACCCTAATGTAGGAGCAACGATTTCAAAACAAACTGCCTTAGCAACGTATGCGTACACTGTTTCTAAGAAAACTGACAATGCAATCAACAAAAGTGTTGCATGATTGACAGTTCGTTTGACGTAAAACCTTCTCTATTATCCCTCTCTGAAACTGCAGGTTTGGATTTTAACCCAATTGTTTGTTTTAATTCATCAATGCAAAAAAAAAAATTCTCTATGAAGTGAAAAAAACTGTAATTTTTCCCAGGGTGGCAACGGAATTGCCATGTAATAATTCCAGGTTTTTCTCG